AATAATAATTAATATCGGTTTAAAGGTCGGAACTACCAGTTTGATTAGATTATCGATGTATACTCTGTTTTTTTTTCTCAGGTAAGATAAACGATGAAAAGAAAAGCAGATGTCATCCCATACCAATCTATTTATTTTACTAAAAAAGTTTCCAATATTTTTTAAGTTAGCTATGGATGGGTTTAAATATAAATCCGTCATGCGTCGTCTCTTGTTGTTTTAACCAGTTTTATTAGTTTATTTCAAAAATGACAGATAATATTTCAATTTTACTGGTTTGACGGAACGATGAACGACAAACGGACGCCGGATTAAGATTCTAAGCCCCTCAGTTTTAATATCTTTGACATGTGTGCCTGTCCAGAGGCCTGTCATAAAATATTTTTGAAATGCTGCGAATAAGAAACTTCTTATTTCTTATGAAAATCATTTTTTTATTATCTTGGCTCTCCGAGACGTTTTCCATATCCGTATATACACCAGTGGTAAGTCACGGTAATATTTATTAACCATATTCATATTAGATATTATTACTTACCTTCCTGATTTATATTTCCTGTTGTCTCTGATGATCCTTCAAAATCTTCCAAGGTCGAAGAAGAAGTACCGTTTGTAGTTACTGATAAAACTTTAGCAATTTTCTTGCGATTTGTATAGGCTCGACAACGTTCGACGTTTAATTTAAGTTTTCTAGCCTTTTTTTAATGTTCTGTAGTATTTAAGATTTTTTTTAACGAAGATTCAGTTAATGAACGATGAACTGTTTCGCTTATCCGCCATTTTTTAAAAGGTACCACAGACCACTTGATTCGAGTCATCACGTAAACCATGGTACAAAGAATACAAGGTATGATCGATAACGGCTCCAATTTCGTTCAGTTCGCGCATACCACCTGTGACGTCACTAGGAAAATGAGGAATAAATAAAAAATAAAGAAAGTTGACAGGAGATCTGCATTTTTTGGGGTTATGGTTAAGAATTGTTTATTTTTTAAGACTTTTAGTTCGTTTAATTTAATAATTACTAAAACCAGAAGTTCCAAAAAAATATATTTAAAAATAATAATTATCTATTAACATGGATTTGGACTTTGGACCATAATAGGTAAGAATACTAAATTTATTTCTATATTCAGTACCTATAAAATTGTTTATTAGGTTTTTAGTTTGCGATGTTTATGGTAAATAATTTTCATGTTCATTGCCTCTGATTTCACATGAGGACAGAGATGAGGATATATATGGAAAAGTAACCACAAGAGGAATTGTTACATCATTTAAAAAATGTTGGGAATTTTATTGTTTCCCATCGAAAAGTAAAAAATGCCAATGCAGATGAATGTATTGTAATTGTGATAGAAGTAATTCCAAGGGTGAAGTTTATTATAATTAGTGGAAGTAATTCCAAGGGTGAAGTTTATTATAATTAGTTACCTGTGCTTCTTTTTATATGTAGATGTTTCAGGTTTTGAGAATAAATCGGTTGAACAAAACCCAAAATTTAGAGGAAGTATTTGCATACCCAGAATATGCCCATCAAGGATTATATAGCTCAAATTTCCTTTAATGGTAGGCAATTATTCAATGCAAATTAACTTTTTAAGTAACTGAAATATTAAATAGTTTACAATATGATATATCATTAAAAATATATTACTTTTAGGTACAATTAGGGCCCGATACATTTCAAAAAGTAGAATATTGTTTTATATTAAATGAGGTATTGTACCAATAATCAATTTATATTAATACCGGAGATTAAAAAATAACAGAATAAATAGTTCTTTTTTTTATACTACAAAAATAAACTATAGAATACAACAGTATTTAAAAAAATAAATAAAAAGTTATGTCCCGGCCGAGATTCGAACTCCGGTCTCTCGCTTCCTAGCCCGACTCCTTACCCACTGTTCCACAGTAACTTGCTTAGCGATAATTCAATGACGGTATATAAACAAAAAACAGGTTTATAACAATATCTTGACGATTTGAACTGGCGCGCGGAGCGTGCTGACCAATAGCGCCTGTTATCACCTATGACGTAGCGACCAACCTGCGCAATATCATACCTTGTATTCTTTGTACCATGACGTAAACTATTGGATTTTATATTTATATATTATATTTGCATTTTATATCCGATTCAACTTATGACTTCCGATCTGATTACTCCTACACTGATATAATCTGTATTACGACTTATGCTAGGTTAATTAATGAAATTTGCGACCAATTTTGAATTAAGTTATACTGCAAAGACTAGCATAGCCTATGATTTGTCGTTGTCAATTATAATTTAGAAGTAAAAATACGTAAAAATATTATTTTTATAAAGCCACAAAGGAGAACAACAAATTTATAATGATTAAATAGACCACCCAAGAGATAATGAAATTAAAAAAAAATAATTAAGCTTTAACTGTTATAATTTACAAGGAAAAAGCAATTCTAGCATTATTCAATAGGCTCAAAATTTACACGACCATTAGTTATTACCTTTTCGATAAGTTATGAGATCGTTGGGATACGAGAGGTGATTAGACATTTTCATTTTCAAAAACGTCTTGTATTTCGAAAATGAATTTTACTTCGAAGTGCAAGTAAATTAGTGGATATACCTAAATAAGCCAAATAATAATCTTTTTTTCAAGTAATTATATTTATAAAATAGGCGAGTATTGTTTTAACAAATACTTATACGTATATTACGTCAAAGTGCAGAGGCAACATTATTTTTGATGTCGACTGTAAAATAATGTGAAAATTACGGGAGATATAAAAAATGATATACAAATACATAAAACATGATAGAAAGTTTAGCAAATATTATATTACCATCAAAAATAACATACATGCATACATATAAATTTAAAATGTGGTAAAATACAAATATGAGGTATGGGTACATACTGGATAAAATCAAAAAAATTGCTAATCAATTAAAAAATGCAATAAAGAAGTTAGCGTCTTTTTAACTTATATTAATAACAACTAAAGTATACTAAAATCAATAAATTTTACAACTAGACAATTCCATAATTTCGGAGAAAAAAGAATATTATCATATGTATCGATTTAAAGTCTAAAGCACTTCGCTATTAAACTCTTAAGAAAATCAAGAAATCAAATTTAATTAACTAACCCAATCCCGTAAGGACGCAACTGAAATAAAAATTACAGAACTGTTTTTATATGAAAAAATACATCTTGATACATGGAAGACGTGTACTAAATTTTATAAAGATATTTAAAATAGTATCAGTGTTATTATAAAAAAAACTGATTTTCCTGAAAACTTTACCGCCCTGTATAACAATGGGAGGCAACATTACTTTTGATACAGTTAAATAATATGATAATTAAGAAATATATAAAAAAATTGTGTACAAATACATTAAACAGAGAATACAAAATTATATACATACATATAAAATTAAGCGTAAGTACCATAATAAGGATAATACCTTATTGTTTACGAATACAGTGTGAGCTTGCAAGACTCACAGTTACGAACAAAATAAAATGAAATATTCATGAAATATAACACACACCCTATTAGCTTCACGGCTTATACAATCGAATAAATCACATAATATTTCTCTCACCTACATACTTGACTTAAAACTCAAAAAGTACTCACCAATATCTTAAACCTAACAGATTTTAATCAATTTTCAACACTTTTAACACTTCGAAGCGTATTTTGACATTATGGATCATTTTATTTACGACCTCTACCTCATTTCGGCCTTCGAACGACCTTGCCCTATTCCATATCCCTATAACGCCGGCTAAACTATCGACGTGTTGACAGGCAGGTTATCGAACCCATGCGGCTCTAGCATGTCGTTTTTTCAAAGATGGGTCCCATATAAACGCGGCCAGAAGTATTTTCAATACTAAAATGTCTCTTGGTAAAAATCGCTACGAGCAACCGTTCTCAAGATATTTAGAATGGAAATAGTCAATACATGTCATTATTGACGAAAAAAATAAACACGTTGAGTATAGATAATTATTTGACTGAAATAATAAATTTGGGAAATTTTCATTTTTTTAAATTAATCATAAATTTTTCTCCGAAAAAATGATGATAAAATAATTTCTGTTATACTTTTGACACAAAGACATTTGAAATTTATGATTTTAGTCTAATAACTATTTAGTTAACATGTTTCATTTATGTGAATGAAGGTATTGATAATTTTGATTCCAAATATCTCGAGAAACATTACTCCTAGCGATTCTTACCAAGAGACCTTTTTTACGTAAAAAACGTCGTAAATGTATATTTTTTACTCAGTAGTTTTATACGGACCAAAAGTTATTAGTCTTCAAACCAGTTAAAAAATATGTAGGTGGCGCCCTCTACAAATGGGAGTCATATTGACATCAATATCAAATTTCTCATGTCAAAAAACTCCCAGACACCAATTTTCATCCAAATATTGACTTTACTTCAGAAATTATTTGGAAAAAATCAAAATAAAAATGAAACGTCTACACCCAGTCTCAGAATCCGCATCAAATGTTAACACTGCAGTTTATGTCCTAACCAGGCCCTAAGCACTCAAAAGTAATTTTCGCGGCGCAAAGGACATTAAGTACAGGTTTTTAATTTATATATGAAGATGACATGATAACTTCTGGCTTGAATACCGTCTGTAGCCTAGTTGACAGAATGTTGGTGATCCGCCAAGTTATTTTTAAATTATAATTTAAATAATTATTAATTCAGATATTCATGATTTGTCGGAAAGTTCGGTGATTTGTGTTTATAGTTTCACTTTTTATTAGTTTAGTTGGTCCGAAACTAAGCTTTTAAGGACATATATTTTTAGGAACTTTTTTACTTATTTTTATCTGCAGAATATATGCTGCCGAAGTTTCCGCAACACAGTTCGGACAATCCTGTATATCCTTCAATTTAATAGCTGTTAGTAAGAAGTTTCACTTCAAATATGCGCACATAGTGCATACACAATTTTTTGTATACTTACCATCTTTTTTTCTCGTCGAAGACTGATCTTGAGATTCTCCAATATTATTAGCTAAGCTACCTAATACTTGAGCTAAATCTCCCAAGTTTTGAGTAGATGTAATTTTTTCAATAACGCCACCAATAATTTGTTTACCCCCATCTGATTGTAAAAAACTACTGACCTGAAAATACAATTTGTTTTAATTATAGAACTCTCCAAAATGTTCGTTTTGTTTGCTTACCACTCCTCCAATATTTTCTAAATTTTTTTCTTTCATGATCTCCTTTGCCACATCGGAGAGAGGATTTTCTATATTTGAGTCTACTTCATTACTTCTTGTAACTTGAATGAATAAGCTAACTATACTTAAAATGACTAGATATTGGAAATATTTGTTGGCCATTGAGGAATGCATTGCCTCCTAAAACAGACATAAAATGAGCGATATTTTTACACCGAAACTATATAGAAAATTAGAACTTGTTTAATAAAATTTCACTTCAGTTATTTCTGGTGGTTTGTTAAATATGTTTTACTACCAGTGGAAGTATAGTCGTAAATATTAATTTCAACAAAACAAACTATTGTTAAAATAAATTGCTTTTTTACTGCTATACCTGTTTCTTTATAGGTTAATGAGACATAATTTTAAACTATTTATTATCACAATCCAGTTATACACAGTAAGTAAAAACAGAATTATCCTTTCAAGATAAATCTTATTTAAATGTATAAGATAAGATAATAAGTAGGTAGTTTGATTTATACCTATTTATTTTTAACAAAATATTAATTTTAATTCATTATATTAACGTAATAAAAATATTTCGACTAAGTAAAATATTGTTCAATTCATACCTAAACTATCTTGAAACAAGTGTAAGGATCGAAACAAATAATATTCCTACTAAAATGAAAATGCAGTTTGTAAAGGAAAGGTAGCGGTAATTACATGTTACATGTTACCTGTCCTTAAACTTATAAAATTAGCAGGAAAACAAAGTCCATTGGTTTAGTTTAACCGCATTACTAATTAAACTTCCCAAGTACATAATTTTGAAAATATACTATATACAGTTATAAACTGAGGGACATACGAAACGGGTCACTATAATTTGTACGACTTATTGTGACATCATATCTCTTGAACTGCTTTATAGATTTTTAATAATTTTACACTGATGAGTAGCCCCGCTAATTGGCCACACAGTGGCGTAGCAAATTTTAATTTCATTTGATACAGAGGATAAAATAAGAAATCTTTTTTATCTAAAATTTAAACTGCGACACCGTTTTTTTTTCAGGTTCGTTCATTTTTTTCTTTGATTTTATAACTGAAATAATTTTAAAAGTTAAAGGTAATAGAAGGCTTATTATTAATTTAATTTAAATTAAATCTATAACGTAACAATAACACAAATATATTAAACAATGCAAAATTTAAATATCCAAAGTAAATTAATAAATGAATGATGAACGAATTAATTAATAATTAAACATTTAATAACGTGTTGATTTTAGTCGTACATCGCCTATCAATGCTTAGATGCAGTCATTTATTTTATTTTGGTCATATAAAAAAAGCCAAAAAAAAAAATAAATATATAGGGTGGTGACAATTTCGATGCTCAACATTAGCATCTCAGAAACTACAAAAGATACGAATTCGGTTAAATGGGACAAAAGTTGCGTAATTAGAAGTTTGACAAACACCTAGGAAGAAAACCCCGGTATCTTGATTAGTTTCGGATTTATGTCAAAAAATGAAAGTAATGCGTTTATTTTACATAATAATATCTTCAGAATTATTGTATCTACTGCAACGTAAGTTGGTAGTTTTATATTTTTGACCCCGATCAATTAAATGCCGTTTTCAGAAAATTTCTCAGCCTTCTAGATTTCGCATAACAACAGTCAAGTTTTTGTTTTCTTATGGCCGCCATTTTGAATTTTTATACTATTAGATAGAGCAAAGAATAATCTATACGGTGGTATCTAATTTTTATTCATAAATTCACCAAAAAAAATAGATTTTTTAAAAATTCGCTCAAAAGATCAAGTCTGCCTTGGATTTCCAATTGACACTTTATATGACAGCAAGTTAATTTTGGTTTACTCTATTAAGTATCAAATCTGAACACAAAAAATTATAGTAGATAGTGTAAAGTGTATTAACAGTCAACAATATGTTCACAAGTGAGGAAACACGAGATATGTATAATGTTTACTTAAAAAATAATAGAAATTCCGATATGGCATGCGAAAGTTATAGAACATTGTATCCTGAAAGGATACATCGTACTATTTTCGCAAGGATTTCAAGAAATTTAGCAGTTGCTGGTAGCTTTAAAAAACAAGAGGGCACTATTTTAAAAAAGCTTATGATATTAATGTCTTCCAGTTCAACAAATGTTATGTTGTTTGCTGACTAAATCCCGCTGTAGGAAAAATTATCAAAAAACATAAATATCGCAACTTTTAATTTAAATGTGTACCAAGTTTATATTTTTTACATGCTGATGATCACGAGAGAAGATTACAATTTTGTAAATGGTTTCGGGAAGGTGTTCAAGAGAGCCCCCTTTTTTCTAGAAAAATATTAGGGACGGTTGAATCTTTATTTACAAATTCTGGTACATTTAACAGAAAAAAAATCATATTATTGCCATATATTTGTTTTTTGATAATTTGCCCTACATAAGAATCACTTACACAACACTTGCGACTTATTTTACGATTAGAACTTTCCGGATTTATTTCAATCTAAGCTGGTACATTAATATCATAAGCTTTTTTAAAATAGTACCCTCTTGTTATTTAAAGCTACCAGCAACTGCTAAATATCTTGAAATCCTTGCGAAAATAGTAAGATGTAACCTTTCAGGATACAATGTTCTATAACTTGGGCATGCCATATCGGAATTTCTATTATTTTTAAGTAAACATCATACATACATATCTCGTGTTTCCTCACTTGTGAACATATTGTTGACTGTTAATACACTTTACACTATCTACTATAATTTTTGTGTCCAGATTTGATACTTAATAGAGTTAACCAAAATTAACTTGCTGTCATATAAAGTGTCAATTGGATTTCCAAGGCAGATTTGATCTTTTGAGCGAATTTTTAAAAAATATATTTTTTTTGGTGAATTTACATAATAATGAATAAAAATTAGATACCACCGTATAGATTATTTTTTGCTCTCTTTAATAGTATAAAAATTCAAAATGGCGGCCATAAGAAAACAAAAACTAGACTGTTGTTGTGTGAAATCTAGAAGGCTTAGAAATTTTCTGAAAATGGCATTTAATTGGCCGGGGTCAAAAATATAAAACTACCAACTTACGTTGCATAGATACAATAGTTCTGAAGATGTTCTCATTTAAAATAAATGCATTATTTTCATTTTTTTTTATTTTTTTTTATTTTTTTGACATAAATCCGAAACTAATCAAGATACCGGAGTTTTCTTCATAGATGTCAAACTTCTAATTACGCATCTATCGTACTTTCTGAGATGCCAGTGTTGAGCATCGAAATTGTCACCACCCTGTATAGCAGTTTAAAAATACATTAAAGAATTTTTGCCCTCCAGTTAGATATTGTGATAAGTGGTGTGCCCTGCACATATCCCAGATATATTCATTATTAGGGATTAGGTCAGAAGAATGAGCCGGCAAATCCATTCGTTCAATGATATTTTCAACAAAAAAATATTGTCAATTCCTTTAATATCAGCCCGCCTGTATCATATGTATTAAGCCTCAAGAGCATTCTGGAAATTAAAAGACAGAGTTTTCTACAATCATGACTTGAGCACAAAAACGAAACTTGCGGTGTACCGAGCGATAATAATTCCCACCATGTTATATGGAAGCGAAACCTGGGTGCCGTACCGCCGACACATGAACGCATTAAACAAGTTGCAACAGAGACATCTTAGACAACTCTTAAGAATAAAATGGTTCCATCATATCTCAAACGTATCGGTCCTTGAAAAAGCTAACTGCGAGAGTATTGAAGTCATGATTACAAAGTCCCGCTTAAGATGGGCTGCTCACGTATGCAGAATGCAAGAAACCGAATACCAAAATCTCTGCTTTATGGTGAGCTTGTAGACGGTAAGAGGAGGCCGGGTGGACAACTCAAAAGGTTCAAGGATATTTTCCACGAAAACTTAAAGGGAATTAACAAGCAGAATGAGTGGGAAGAGGCAGTTCACAATAGAACGGAATGGAGAAGAATTGTAAAGTCAGTTAACAGCGACAACCAAAAAGTAAGAGGCAACAAAGCAATGAGATTTTTGAATGTCTGGAGTGCGGTAGACAGATAACATCACGTATCGGGCTTTTCAGTCACAGAAAAGCTCATGAAAGAAAACGCCTTGCGCGACCATCTTCTGATGCGTGTCAAATACTCGTCAGCGAGTAATGGCGGTATGTATGTATGTATTAATTGGCTTGTTCAGTTGTTCTTGGGAGAGCCTTGACGTTATGACAGAATTAAACTAATATTAAAAATAATTATTAAAAAAAGTATTCTGACATACACTGATACCTATTAAACAGTTTTTAGCATGCATCCATCTCGCATACCTGCCCGAGTATACAGGGTGCTACAAATTCGAGGTACGAGCGTTTGTGACTTTGTAACCGTAATCGTAGATACGAACATGGTTAATTTAGGGCAAAGTTGCGCTTTGGGATGTTCACCAAGATGCCATCAAAAAAGTTTTAAAAATTTCAAGGATTGCTGAATTTTTTGGAAAAAAACGGATTTTTGGAAAATCAATTTTATATTTTCCTGTCGTTACATTTTAGAAAATCAAAAAACTAATTGCACAGTCTTTTAGCCACTTTATTATGGCTATCTGATAGTATTTTTAGATTTTCAAGAATGTGCAATTATTTTTTTTGATTTTCTAAAATTTAACGACAGGATAAAATAAAATTGATTTTATTCATGAAAAAGTCCGTTTTTTCCAAAAAACTTCAACCCACCAAAAATTGATTTCCAAAAAAATGCCATCAAAACTTTTTTAGTATTAGATAGTAGGACTGTTTCCGAGATACCAATGTGAGACCTCCAATTTGTAGCACTCTGTATATAGTACCTAAGTAGTTATACCTACTTAAAGGTATATCTACATAAAATGTAATGTCCTGGAAAGAGTAGCACAACTTTAGAACTGATAAAGATAAAAAGACAAACAAAGAACAAAATGTATAAAAGTGAGTATCTTTATCACTATGGGTGTGTAATTGCTTAGGGGTACATAAAAAAATCTGTGTGGCACTTTAAATTTTGGTTAAAACATTATATTAGGTACTTCTTATTTTATAGTAGTATACAGGGTGGCGCACCTCATTCGCTTCGGTTGATAATACGAAAACCGAAAGATGTAGAAACAAAATATTTTATGGGTATATGTGGGAAGGCAATGTGCATAATTTAAAATTATTTTAAAATGTACAGGGTGTGTCAAAACTAAGATCCATAACAAAGTTATATTTTTTCTTATGGAACACCCGGTATTTTATTTCATTTTTGGATTCTTGGTCATAAAATAAGGCATTTATTTATATAGGGGTATAATATTTTTAAAAGCTTTGGTTTTTGAGATAATTAAAGATATTTAAATATGCATGCTATAATAAAAAATTTGTCAGCACCTTGTACATTACTTTTCCGAATTAATTCTTGTGTACTTTCAAGCCAGAGAAATATAGATTACTAAAAAATTGTATTGCTTTCTGAAATGTATACAGGGGTATCAAAAAATGCTGGTCTATTTTAAACATTTATTTTACATAAAAACTTTGGTATTGCAAATGCAACACTATGTATTTTTTTTAAACAAATCGAAGGAGATTTAAATGCTCTTTTAAACTATATTAGAGTTTCTTATACCTATCTGGCTCAGATTATGAGTAAAAAGCGATTTTTCAATAAAATTGTAATCAAAACGGCTGGTGCTCCATGGCAATTTTCTAGTGACACATAGTAGCTATTTTTAAAATCGACATTAATTTATGGACTTTATTTAAATTTATAACAAGTTATTTTTATTTAATTTACCTACAATAAGATTAATTTAGGGATATTTAAATATA